ACAAGGTGCGGCCCTCATCCTATAGGTGCGGGAGTACCATAGAGGCCACATCAAGAAGGGGCCATTGCAATTCGACTCTACGTTCTTCGAGAAGGACGGAGAAGGACGCATCAGGATGACATCAATGGGCGCCAGATTTGCTGAAGGACGGAGTTGTCAGATCCATAAATTTCTCTTGTCTCTCTCATGTACCAGTACACTGTCCAAGCCCATTAGTCATCTAATGGGAGCAAGTGACTGGCGCGGCCTGTGCTTGCGCCTTGGCGTGCCGCCTCATACCAAAGCATGACTTCCCTGGGGAATACGCAAGCCCAGCATTGCCCAATTATCACGGGCGGCGACCTAATTAGGTCCCCGTGTTGCCGCTACATATCACCCACGTGGGGATAGTGGAAGATCAAGGGGCGCAGCATTAATAGAATGCCTTTGCCATGCTGTCATTCACCTACCACAATTAGCAGCTTCCCTCTTCGGTGCCGGCCACACTTTGACAAATAAACGATCGCATATCATCTAGGCTGTACAAAGCGCCTCTAAATGTCAACAAATTATTCTAATTATTATATTTTTCAGTGAGCAGAACTTTGCGCAAAATGGTTGTAACCATATTTAAGTAGATCTTCCAAAGTTACGCCTCGAGCTTTTGCGAAATTACTTTTGCCCATAAAATCTAAATTTTCATCCCCTTCCAATGGCAGGGACAATCTGGCATAAAAGTATCACTACCGTTTGCACAATGCATATGAGTACTTGCAGTTAGGCATCCTTATTTCTAGGTCTTATTTACGCATGTTCTGTGGCACTTCAGTAAGCGGCGCCCATCCATGTTCCTCAACGGGAAAAACCTCTTTAAGATGCGCAAAAATATTTGCAAGCAATGTAACCGGTAGCACAGAAGGCATATCACGAGGGTCGTTCACAACCTCCGTTTAGTAACTGAAATCCCATATAAAGGACCGAGGTTTAACTTCTACCAATAAACTTGCCTTAGCACCTCATGCAGATAGAATCTCTGCCAAAGCTGCAAAGGTATGTGGGTTCATATCGCTTAATTTTTCTCTTCCGGAAATGAAGCTAAGAATTTAATGAACGCCTGTGAGCTTAATAAAATTAAAATGTTCAGAGAGCCTTTAACCCGGAAGCTCTTCTTTCAAGCTGCATCCGGTATTTCTTATACTTGCAGACGTCAGCTGGCGAACATTAAGCTTTCGTGGATTAGAAGACTCGAAGCCGGCCTTTGCGTCCTCTTTTACACTAACTCTAGCTCCAATCTTCCGCTCATTGACATTCTCACTCCGAGAGATGAGTCTTATGCCACGCGTAATTCCTCCAAGGTGAGTCCGCCACCTCATTGCACTACATCTAAACGCTCCTTCTTTTTGCTTCCAAATATGCCTCCCTTCGGAATAATCTTCAGCCAGAAATTAGGACATCGCCTAAGTTATTGGTATTCAAGTCAAAATTACGCAAAGACCTTACACCGGATAGTATAAAAGCACTTTTAACGGTCTTATTTCCGAACACTCAGCTTCTTGACTTCGAGAAGGGTCCTCTTGGGATTAAGTGGTAGATAAAGTGGAAACCCTCACTAATATCTTTACAACCCCCCTCTTTTGAATTGGCTATTAAATCCAGTGTTATTATTCCTCCCACATAGCGAGGATTTTCGCGGTTCTTGATGTCATCACCTCATTTCGACCTCAAGCGGTCTGTCAACGCTTGCGGCGGAACCCTCTGTACTCGCCGTCTACTAGTGGTTTGGTCGTAAATTCCTTGTCCTCTTCTCGACTGGGCTCGAAGCGGACTGCAAACGATCGCGTCTGGGTTCTTCTCGTCGCGTCACTTTGACGCGAACAGTCTCATCCGGTGTATGAATTCTGCCCTGTTGTTGTCCGTTTTTAATCCCCTATAGAATACTACATGCAGACCAGTCCCGTCTGACCCGCATACTTTCCCCACAAGGCTGACATTTATTTCTGCCCTGACGATGCCCGTTTATAATCCGTTATACACTGCCACATGCAGGCCGGTCCTGCCCACATTTTTGTCGTTTCATAAATGACAGTTTTTTCTCCTGTAAAGTTGATCCAAACATTTTTTTAAAATTTTTTAGTGGAGTTTTTTTTTCACTGATCGCTCAACATTTTCCTTAACGGACTACTAATTCAGAAACTATGGATTGAATAATGTACAGATTCTGTAAACCTCTTCTTAAATGTATATGAAAATTTATTTTCACATGCTATGACGGGGCCCGAAAGGTCTCATAGAAAATTGTTTATGCATTATTATTAATTACCTCTGTGCAGTCGACCCTTGAGTGCAGCCAGTTGACTCGGGAAATAGGGTGAGAATTAAAGCCCAATCTCCTGACGCACGTGAGTTGGAAAAATAAATGTTGGTTTGTTTCGATAATATCACGCGAGCAAAATGTGGACTGTAATCATCAGGGAGGGAGTTAAGATAGACATCATAACATAAGAAGTTTGTAAACAAGTAGCTGATAGTAAAAAAAAGAAATTACAGTTAAAATGCATTATTTCTGAATGAACGGAGTTTACGAAAACTCCTCTCGCCAACTTAAAACTTGACTTTTCATCCCGTGTAAATCTGATGATTTCCGGCCAACCAGCAGTTTTCCGTCCTAAAAAATTCCGATTTGTAAATAGGGATAATGATTCGTCTAAAAAATCAATAACAACACGGCAGTCCAACCTTTACTTTAATGTACGCCCGAAATCTCCAGGTATTTTTAAATAACAGTGAAAAAGTCCACTACCAAGTGGGCATCTAGACTGCTATGTATATGACAGGACGCATTCTTGAGCGATTTAGCTTCCACTAATGCACAATCTGGAAAAGAAACGGGCAACGCATTCGTGGATTAAGGAACATACTACTGTAATTTTATAACTTGGCCTCAAGTTACGTAGGGATAGCGAAAATGACCCCCATCATAGAGTCAAAAGTGAGTTGTTTCGTTTTCGATAACGAGACCTATCAACACCCATAAGGGCCGTTTGCAAATATCTTACTCTGGCTGTACTTTGCAAGAAAATGAGAAAAGCGAGCATTAATCAGCAAAACACCGCAGTAAAGCGTTTATTAAACACTTACGACATTAAAGAATGTCTCATATAAGATTAACAGCGTTGGCCACATAGGTATTCATTATGCTGTCTCGGGGCTGCATTTTTATTGAATTGCTATCTATGTGGCCATGCAATGACTAGTCGCAGTTGGACATCAAATCCTTCAATTTCTTTCACGTTTTATTTCTACGTGTTTACTTTCTTTTATTTCATCAAGTTCACATCCACTCTATTTCAACTCTTCAGTCATTTTACTAAAATGCCCGCTAAATCAAGGTGGGGAAACGTTCATCTCAATTAGTTGACAGTGGCCACGGGGTATGCGTCAACCAAACATTCCGAGTCATCTATAATGTGTCGGGGAGGCACTCCTGGTTTCTGCGTCAGCGACTATTTGCGACGGCAGAGGCATACGGTTAGCCAACCCAAACTTGTGTTTGAAAAAAAGCTTTTGTACAAACTCTTCGGCTTCCTCAGGCAAAGAAAAACCCAGGTTATGGGCATTCACAACCACCACTTCGCTTTCGAGCGAAAAAACAGGGAGACCTAATTGCCAGACACCTTTTCCCTCCTCTTCCCTAAGACCCCAGGGAGGAACTGGAATCTGATCCCTGGCCTATGAACGTCGCTCAAGCCTTCCCCCTCATGCTGACTTTTATTCAATGTTTGACTCTTGCTATTCTGCCCCCATTATTTTACTATGCAGGCCAGACGATGAATAATCGCAAACGTACATTTCCCGGAATTGACTTTTTATAAATATTTCGTAGATTGTGTGCCGAATTCGCCGAAGATGTCGCCGAGTATTTTGTTAGGTCCCTCGACGGAAAAGATAATCTGGTTAAAATGAATACGGATTAGCAGACAACACAATCTTAAAATAATTTTGCTCGCCAAAATGCTAGTTCTCGACTGCATGGCGCTTGGGAAATTCATGTAAAATTATGAACAGAAAGAGTAAGTTTATGCTAATTTTTCCTTTTTTAGCGATGCATGAATGGGTGCAAGGATGCCAAGTAAGGGCGTAACCCTCAAATTTGTGGTTGGGGCCCTGAAAGATCGTAATCAGTCCGCCCGCCAGATTGCTACGAGCCTTTGACCTACTGATGATCGGCGGCGACTGCGAAACAGCTGTTTGCGTCTGGCCTGTTGCACTCTTAGTGGGCTGCCCACGCAGTAGATGCAATAATCTCTTGTAGCAATTATTCTAAAAAATCATCTCTTATATTTATTTCATTAAAGATCACGTTTTTTTGAAAATTAGTGATTTCAAAATTCATAGTCCATGTTAAGTTTACTCTGGCGCGCGTCATGTGTAAATAAATAAAATAATAGGTTTTGTTTAAAGATATGCGGGCGTCAGTAGACTCCTAAAATTCCGAAATGCCTCTGCACTCCCGATGCAAGGCTTGGAGGTATGGTTTCTCATCTTCTGAGTAGAAGGCAGGAAGCGGTTGTAAATCCCTTTCAGATAATACAGCATAGGCCATTGGACGTCTAAATTAGACGGAAAAATATATTCTGCCCAGATAGTGATTTCTTCCGAATACAACTTACACAGGTCATTGGGAAGATGTCCATTCAAGGACCAGTATGTTGTCGATTGAGTTTTTCTTTTTCACCTCTCAAACTGGTCTAAACAGTCTTTTCCATTTAAAGTGGCATCGAATATTTTTAACCAGTACTTGATGAGTCTACTGCATGCTGATTGCGGAATTTCCGCGCCGCCAATTTTGGAATAGCCTATCACATTGCTTCCTATGCTGTGACCTGCTGATTTAGGACTGATAACACCTTCCACTGACTCATACGGCTTTACTCACCAAAAATCGTTTTATTTGCAGCACGTGGCACACTTGCTGTTTTTAACTGTTTTGTGGGAGCCTAAGTCTTTCGGAAGGCAGAAATTTAAAGAGGCGACTTTGAACGCAAAGGCGACCTACCTGAAAGCGGAAAGTACAGTATGGTTAAATTGACATGCGCTGACACCGCGCCGTTACTCCGCCGAAGCTAATGGAATTTGGCTCAGACGTGCGTATAACCTGTGGCGAAAGCAGAAGCTTAACACAGGAAGGGGATGACTAAGTCCTTGATAAGTTCGCTGCTATGGTTGGTGCATGGTTTCTAGAGTTGCTCTCGAAGCAGGACAGGCGAGAGTATGGTATGTTATCCCCTTGGAAAGCAGTAGTCAGATATGACCCTAACGCCAACCATGAACATGGCTGTAATGGCTGACTCTAACCTGTAGGATCTCAGGGAAAACTAAAACCTAAGGGCAAACTTAACCTCAGGTCTTGCATCCCCAACCCAAAAACTAAAACCCAAATTCTAAACCCCAGTCCTAGCCTCAACCACAAATGCAGACCATAACCAAAGCCTGACAACCTCAGCTCTAGGAATAACCAAACTCCTAATAGGAATTCTAATTCCAACCCAATCCCTAACCCTAACCTTGAGCCAGTCCTACCGGGCAATGGTTACGCCGATAACCCTACTTAAGATCAAGATCCGCTTACCACATAGCCCCTTCGTCGGCCTTTTTTGAGGCAAACCGTTATCAGTAGCATAACCGACAAAGACAGGGGAGTCTGGAGTGCCACTTCTGGTTTATTTGCCGTCGTCAGCTAGTAATACCCAACCCCGAAGTGTGGAGTGCCCGAGGCTCGAAGTCGCAACCTGATAGTTAGAAGTCCATGCCTCTAACCGCTGGGCCACGAGCCCGTTGCCCGGTCGATTTCGATTGGGAATATACAAGAAGGTCAGAAGGTATACGTTTGAAAAGCCGCCCAAGGGGGTTACATACCCTATCCTTACCGCAGTACAAGTGCTTCAGACGTGTTTCAATGTCCCAAGAGTCATAATACCTGACTGATGTTTTGTGGAAAAATCAATTTTTTTTCAGAGAAGTTTGAAGTAATTAGTCCGGTACCTTTAGGAACGTGCAGAATGGCCTACTCTGATCCATATTATTTCTTCAGCTTAAAGCGTCTTCTATCAGGAAAAGTATTTAAGCATTCTGACATGCTTCTCAAGATTCTCTGCTTACTTTGTCTTTTAGCCACTGTGCTGGACGCATCGCATGGCGCGTAAAGTCAAATGCGACAAAAATGCTTCATACAGTCCTCGTCACTACTTGGGTTCTCGATTACACTCTTGACCCTTCGACATCGCCCACATGCCTTCACTTCATGTACCTGCGCATAACGTCACTAAGGAAATAACTCGATGTGGTTCGGACCAACATTCTGTCATCTCAAAGAAACCCGGTAATATGCCACCACTGCGCGTCTGGCGGTCGTGCTGTCGAGCAGGTTCAGTATCATCATCATCATCATCATCATCATCATCATCATCATCATCATCATCATCATCATCATCATCATCATCATCATCATCATCATCATCATCATCATCATCATCATCATCATCATCATCATCATCATCATCATCATCATCATCATCATCATCATCATCATCACCGCCGCCGCCGCTGCTACTACTACTACTACCACCACCACCACCACCAACACCACCACCACCACCACCACCATCATCATCCTGCTGATGTGCAAAATCACTGTCTGCATTGCGTGCACTCGCAGACATAATCAGGACGAGTCATCTAGCAGCAGCAGCAGCAGCAGCAGCAGCAGCAGCAGCAGCAGCAGCAGCAGCAGCAGCAGCAGCAGCAGCAGCAGCAGCAGCAGCAGCAGCAGCAGCAGCAGCAGCAGCAGCAGCAGCAGCAGCAGCAGCAGGGAGCCCTCAGGCAAATCCACTGCAATTAAACTAAAGTCAATCAAAAAGCACACTTTCTGCCAGCCAACTAATTGTACTTCGACAGCTCTCCTGAGGTCAGGACTCAAGACAGGTACACGTTTAATGCGTTTAAGTACTTAGCGCTCTTGATGCCGCTTGACAGGAGGCGAGGTTTTCAGTTTCTTCTGCTTGATTAGTCATCAAGAAACAAGTATCAGGAGGTAAATGTCTTGCCAACTGCCGACGCTGGCATTAACAGGGGTGTGGGCAAGTCGCAGGGGGTCTTTCAAGTATGACACTTACCAAGTTTGCCAAAGTGACATTCAATACAGATCGGAGGGGATAAAAAATGCTAAGCTGCACCATTCAGTGCGGTGTCTGTTGTCTCAAACAGAACAGCCAATCATTTGGAAAAAATAATGAATTGAGGAGAAGGCGGACAGCGTTTGAACGTCCGTCACACCTGTCGTTTTCATTGCCCTGGTCAGCTGTATACTTGTTACTGATGACTGACTTAATTAGTCACGATGGGTTGAACAGAACTGTGTCTACCCATCGCTTCCATTTCCAGAGGAGACGTTGGTTTTCGGCGGGCAGGATAAACGCAGTCTGGCGCGGCGTGTGGTTGGACGGTTTAACAATTCTATTACCACCCTATGGCTCAACTTTACGCTGTGTCAATTTACTTCGGGGCGTGAACTTCCAGTTGCTTCCTTCAAAGTGACAGAAATATCCGACAAACAGTCCGCCAAATAATCAGATGTAGATTTCCCTCGAAATTGTTAATTCCAATCTTAATTCTACTGATAGGGTCACGAAAAACCTCTGTTGAATTCGGACTCATGACGGCAAGGTGTAGGTTTGAGTATAGCCTACGCTATAACCACTTAACTTACGAAACCTGACCTAGAGCCTTGGTTTTTTTCGCGGGTTCGAATCGCACCGAGGCAGTCGACTGTTGGGGATTATGTGATAGAACCTATTCAAGCCTACTAGAAAAAATACTTGCTGATACACGGCGCGTTACCGAGTGTGTACGAGGCCGGTTTGTCAGCGAATCAACTTAATTTTAAAAGCACTTCACCTGCAATCTAACCTCAGTTACATTCTATCATTTTACAGTTCACGAAGATGAATATCTAGAGTATGTGGGTGGAAAGTAATAACCTGCGTATCTAAACTGTGTAAAAGGTGTTGAATCAGGCTTGGATCTCCGAGTAATGACTTGTAAAAAACGACTCTTTTGCGCTGATTGCATGAAGCCAAAATTTGTACCGACTGCTGACTTGATAGCTCCACCTCTATGAAGGAAGCAGCAATCGTAGGCTGTGAAAGAAAACAGATGCTTCTGTTCTGATCGATGCCAGGGAGATCCAGTCTGATACCCAAAGTGTGTGTCTTTTAAACCACATAATTGATCAGTTTACTGCCTAACGTTTCACAAAAAGCTTCTGACATGGTCAAATGTACGCAGATATGACTGTCACCGATACATCTTTTAAGCAATATTCATCATATATTCAAAAGCATGACATGGAGAGAATTCAAAATTTCCGTTGGGCTTCTGTTATAAAATGTCCTCGTGAAGTTTGCGATAGACTCTTTCGCCCTGAAACTGACTGAATACTAGCCAAGCGTGGAAGAGAGGGAGTATAGAATAGGTAACATTGAACAAAATGTCCCTAGCTATATGGAGGGTAAGTTCGATTTACCCTGTTCACAGACCCGACTGATTTGGCCAATCGAAAAATTAAAAATCTTGCTTTCCTCTTCTTTTGCAGTAGACCTCAGGGCATAAATTTACTACCTAAATGTGCACCTCAAATAAGAGTTTTTATGTAGGTGCCTTTGGACTTCTACTGGGTGTGGAATTAAATCCAGATATAAAATAACTTTGCGACAATTTAATTTGAATACAGAGAATGGCTGTTGACTTCTGTAGAGGTAAAACGACCAAAGTTGGCTTACTGGTTGCCGAGTTTTCTGTGTGCAGTAGTTACCACCTACTGACGCGGACGTCAAGACGACAGAATATCTTTTGACTCGGGCTAAAATTGCACCTGCTAAATTCGAACTAATATATGACACATTATCGATCATATTGTGGTTATGAACTATAAAAGAAAGTGTTCTTTACTAAATTCAATTAGCAGAAGGCAGGTGGTATCGCTCGAGCAAAGACTTGTGATTCGTGCTTGTCATGTGATTGGACATCCACATTTCTCGCCTAAAAACGCAGTCAGTTCTGTCGTATCTGGAGGAGTTCGGAAAGCCAAAGGAGAAGGATCGTATAGATGGAGTTCAAACACAACTGCCCGATTGAAAAGACAGCACATGCACAACAGTAATTGCCATTAAGCCTAGGAAAAATTCTCCTCTTCGTAAAAGCTCGGCGCTTATGAGTGCAAATGAGTAAAAACGGGAGCATTCTGAAGTCGCCGAATCCATAGCTTAACAAAACCTCACAGCGGGGTACCCGGTCCACATTTAAGACCCTGAGGGTTATTTTGATGTCTAAGTAACCTCACCCCAAGTTTTTATGGAGAATAACTTGAAGAAAGGATGCATTTGCACATTTCTCTGGTCACTTCGGTGTTTAACTCAGTGTTTAGTGGGTTGAAAATAAAAGTCAGAGAGGGAGCATAAAGACGTAAGTGTAAATGGATTAGAGGAAGCCTAATTCCATTATCAGTGTAGCGTGTCAGTTATGTTAATGACAGGAAGTTTCTATTGTCGAAGACGCCATAAGCACAGAAGGCTAAGTATTCCGAAATTTAGTGATTCGGCTTTAGAAAAAATACTTTCCACCATCCTCCTATTACACGCAATTTAAACAGGTATCTGCGTAGACTGGCTATCATTGGTTGGTTCTGGGGTATTACCATGTAGGTAGACCCATTACTTTGTCAGAGGTACACTTCTTAAAACGGATTCAGTGCCAGAAACGGATTTGCGTACACCACCCATCTTTGAGCTGTGCGAAAGGACCATTTGTAATAAGGAGAAGATGACAATAGGGATTTTGCAGATGGGATCTCTTAGGAGGGAACATGAGGTGTCCTTAAATATGTAACAAATCCTGCTTGCGCCGAATAATTTTTGTTATGTTACAGCAGAATAAGCAGGCACCTTGACGAAAGATAATTCAGGAGGGTATGCACCCTGCCTCCCTACCATGATGCCAGTAGAGATTTGGGTTTTTTTAACAGAGACGGCTAAAAATTTCAAAATGCATAAAAGGGAAAAGGCGTCAGAATTTGGCGCTTTGTCGGGAGATAGTTCAAGTAGTACACATAGCCCACCTTTCCTATTCAGTTCTGTGAACAGGTGTTAAAATGACCCCCTTTTAAACATTATAACTTCATTTGGCAAGAATACAAGCGTTGCATTGTTACGAAAGTAGGAAAACCGGTTTTGGGGTAAGAATTTATAATTACCCTTAGCAAGCATTATTTTAACAATCATTTTATGGCACATCAATCAGATCGTTGTATCAGATGCCTAAGATCAGTCATACAGTTTCCAATAAGGCAGAATGTAATTACCGACAAAGATAAGGGATACTGGAATGGTCATTTCTGCCTTGTCAGCCGTCGTCAGCCAGTCATACCTAACGCCGAGGTCTGGAACAACTGGGGCTCCAAAAACTATATATATATACTTCCTCAAAATTTCCAGATAACGTCGTGATGATTTAGGGTACGCAGTGAACAGCCAGTAAATAAGCAAACTTCAAGCAAAAAGCCTATCAAAATATAAACAGAATTGTCAGATTTTTAGAAGACAGCCGTCAAGAAAACATTTCGCGTTTTCCAATTCTTGAACTTGAGGGACCATCTGTTTTAGTTTCATTTAACAGTCGGGGCTATTCGCGAAGAAATTTAAAAGTTAAGGGATTGCCGCTTTGAGACGGAATCGGACTCTGTAGAATCCGATATTTCGTACTTATGCTGCGTGAAGGCGAGCCCAATATACTGCGTCTACCCCTAATACGCAGATGTTCAGCATAAGAAAATTAGACGTGGTTCAGTCTGTTTTAAATTGAGGTGTCATCCTGTTTGCTGACGACATAAATTATGGAAAGTTTTTCACAATGCAACAGACGGAGACTATCTGCATAAAAACATGAACAGGCTCGAGGACTGGTCGAAGTGCTGGCTTGTGCCTTTCAACGCAAGGAAGCGCAAATTCCTTCAGGTCGCCAACTGCAGAGCCTCCAGCCCGATGACTCACTTTCCAAATGATACACCATCGCAACAAGTTGACAATCACAGGAGCTTTGGTGTGTGGATTGCATGCTTGCTTAAGCCAATACTTACGTCAGCGAAGACGGCCAAGTCGCCCACATCTATATTTTAACTCATCAGGCCAGTTTACATGCGGTTTAGCAGAGAATGCTTCTCAAAACTACTAGAATGCGCTTAGAATGTCAAGGACTGTACCGCCTTAGAGAATATCCTCAGGCTGGAGAAAAAAATCAACCAAAGGTTTGGGAAACCAGCCCAATGAAAAAAGACTGTCAACTCTCAAACTATTTCCGCTTTCCTACAGGCAAGTACGTGGTAATCCCATACTAACCTCTTGCGTTACAGATGGCTTGGACCGTTGTTTTGTCCCCAGTGGTCTTTCCACTCATGCGAACACGCCCAATTTGCACGATCACCACCCAAAACTCCATACAAATAAAGCAAAAATCAGTATGCGTAAGTTTTTCTTCGCTAATGGAGTGGCGGAAGCGTGAAACGCCATGCCCATCGATGTTTTCCTGTCCTCCGGTGTAGATACATTTAAATGCAAACTGAAAACTCATGATCCTTCCCAATTACCAGACATACACACTCCCACATCTTGTCACCGAGCTTAAATTTGCGCACAATACCTGCAGAAAACGAGTGTACGTTCGTATTTACCCTTTATCGGCTTGGAGGCGGTTGCATGCTTTTGTAATCAGTTATATCTTTTCCAGTTTTCCATTTGCCGGTGTTATTTCTCAGAGGTTTTATGTAGTAGGTGGGTTTACTCATGAAATGTCAACCGAAATTCCGAAATGCGTTTTCGTTTCGAAAAGATTAATCAGGTAGGGTTGTAAAAATAATCGGTTTGCAGTATAATTCTATAATAATTCAGTTACCGCAGGATGCCGGCTTTCGAAAGAACCTCCTTCCGACTGCATGCGAAAACTACACTTTGTAAGAAACGACGACTTATGTAGCATGAATTTTTATCTTTGATTTTCGATGCCCTTAAACGTCCAATTGCATTTCATGGAATGCATGCATAGAAATATTCATTCTTTCGCTCATTCGGCAGGTAACTATGTCTTATTCTAAATTTATACTCGAAGGAGGGACATTATTCGGTTTCAAAATTTTTATAATGGCGGAACTTTTAAATAGCGTGAAAATGTCTCTGTATTTACCAATGTGGCATGTAAAGTTAACAATATGAATCAAATCCACTGTTAAATATTATGAACACTATATGATCCGCCATTATTGCTGTAGAGACATGTGTGGTCTTCCGTAAGCAAAAATATACGGCTTGCAGTTTGGAAACCTTGGATGCAAGCGTAAGAGCAGGTCGGGTTCAAGAATATGTGGGAATTGGGAGAGTTTTTGAAAACTGAACTATACCCTTCTTTTGAGTATGAAATTGGGAGAAAACGTACTTATCTACCGAATGGAGAAAGAACGAATATTTTTATGCACGTTTTCCACGAAATATAATTGGAATTTTAGGGCATCATAAATCATTGAGAAAAATTCATGCTACTTAGGTAGTTATTTTTTACAGAGTGTAGTTTCTCCATGCAACCGGAAGGAGGTTCGTTCGAAAGTCAGCATCCTGAGGAAACTGAATTACTATAGAATTATTTTGCAAGTTGCCCAGTTTTACAAACCTGTCTAATTAATCTTTTCGATACGGAAACGCATTTCAGAATTTCGGTTGACATTTAATGAGTTAGCCCACCTACTGTAATAACTAGGGAGTTCAAAGGGATTCGCCTATCTTTCCCTAAATAGAACTTAGCTGAAATGGTCTGAAATCCTCAAAGAAAAAAAAGCGATGATTGTTTTTGTTATACCGTGGAAAACATACGGAGTGAAAAAAGGGTAAGTAAAAAATGGTGAAAAATGCAAAAATAGAAATCAGAAAAACTGTAAGAGTATATAAGAAAAAAGCCAGAATAAAAAAATACGTGTAGCATAAATGTTTGCACAATTGTGTCAGTCTTGGTCATCCATTTATTTGCTTTATTATGACAGAAAACTATTCTCAAGGCCATAACACATGAATTGCGCCAGAGTCATTTCCTAAGCCGCACTGACCGCGACTGGCTTTTATCCGGCAAGCAGCATTCACGTAGATATCATTTTTTTGCGCTAACACCGATCAAAGTATTTGGCAGATACTGAATATACAGCTATATTAAGACCGCTTTGGTGAGTTTAAAAATAGAAGAACGAAAATGAGTGCTGCATCGGCTGACTTATTCTTTAAAGTCGACGTCCAGTCATTGAGTAAGGATCACTTTGATGTCTACAAGATAATTTGGTGAATAATAAAAATGTAGATAACATTCTCAAATAGTAACTATTTAAAGTGTTTAGTGTCTTCGTTTCGTACATAGAGTAGGTGTGCTAACTCCGGAAATGTTAACCAAAATTCTAAAATGCATTTTCATTTCCAAAAGATTACTTAAGCAGAGCTGTAAAATTATTCATCCCGCAGCATAATTATACAATAATTCAGTTGCCTTGGGATGCCGGCTTTTGAACGAACTTCTTTCAGTCGCATACAAATGCCAAAGTGTAAAAAATGACTACTCATGTAGCATGCGCTCTTCTCATTGATCTTCGATGCCCTTAAAAATTCGACTATATTTCATGAAAAACATCCCAAAAACCTTAATTCGTTTACATATTTGGTAGAAAATTACGTCTTTTTTCAACTTTATGCTTGGAGAAGGGGTATAATTCCGTTTTCAAAAAGCCTTTAATTGTGAAATTTTTTAATATCATGAGATGTTCGTCCATAAAACACCGTGCTTCTGCATTTACCAATGTTGCTTGTAAAGCTTACAATATGGCTCGAATAAATTGCTTAAATCAATGAACCCCATTTGGTCTCCTCTTTAAACAGTGGAAAAATGTATGGTTTTCCGAAATCGGAAAATATCCGGCTTGTAGATTGGAAACCCTGGATGCCAGCGTAAGAGCAGGTCGGGTTCAAGAATATTTGGGAATTGGAAGAGTTTTTGAAAACTGATTTACACCCTTCCTTCGAACATAAAATTGGAAGGAAAACGTTATTTTCTACCGAATGAGCAAAGGAATGAATATTTTTATGCACGTTTTCCACGAAATATAATCGAATTTTTAAGGGCATCAAAAATCAATGAGAAAAATGCATGCTACATGAGTAGTCCCTTTTTAAAGTGCGATGTTTGTATGCGGCTGGAAAAAAAGTTTGTTTTAAAGCCGGCATTCCGAGGTAACCGAATTATTGTAGAATTATGCTGCCCAATGACTAATCTTATAACCCTATTTAAGTAATCGTTTCAAAACTAAAAAATATTCCATAATTTCGGTCAACATTTCGTGAGTTAGCACACCTGCTGTATGGGGACGCATATTCTCGTTTTGATTTAGATTTAAATCAAACCACGTGTGGCAGGTTTTACTCCAGGAGGACATACACTCCACCTGCGCACTATAGTCAACACGGTGCATGTGATCACCCACCGGCAAGCAGGTCACCTGGAGAGTACATGTGACTGTGTTCGCGGAGCGAAACTTGTAACCACGTAAAAAATTTAAAAAGACAATCAGAAATAATAAATTAAAGAAGGTTATTTGCCTTAAGAACAATCATTTCTACGCAGAAGCATACGTATATACGTATAAGTTAACTAAATTTATGGATTTCAAAAACCCGATTCTTCCGCAAGCGGCATTTTGATTTGGGAGCAGAAAATAATCAAAACCTTAACATTATTACTCAAACTAACTCTTTCTGTCCATTGTTTCGTCAGAAAAATGCGCCCGCAAAATTCGCATGAAGAATAAACAAATGCGCAGTAGGCGCATTAATGTCTGACTGTTTTGTCGAAAAGAATAATTAAGAGGCCTGCGTGAACTGCTGTTATTAGTCACAACAGTCTTCTCCCGAAGAATTACAACAGAATAAGTTGCAGGACAATTTTTTCTAACAGAGGACACTTCCTGCTGATAATCTTTTCATGCGCAGCGAACGGAAGTGGGAAAAGATTCTTGAAGTTTTGCTTTGAGAGGAGCTTCAGGCCATCTCATCAAGGGATAATTGTTCAAATTTCGCTTGTTCGATATACTTATAAAAACTGAGCCTATCGATCCCAAAAAACTGTAAGCAGCATAGCGAAACTTCAGGCGAACGCAAAAGGTGATTCTGGTCGAGACATCATGCGATCAGTCGCCTGCACGCGTGGAAGTCTGATTTACTGCCGGAAGTCGCGGTATTTAAGTGTGACGTCTGTGCTCTGCTAATATGATTGCAAAGAGCCACAGAAACAACCCGGGCATATCTAGAGATATACTGTAAATTAATGTCATTTAGCGGGACATGGGCGTGCGTGGTGGAACGCCTATGAAAGTAATTAGGCAGACAGGCTTTTACTGAGGTATGCAGTTAAGTCAGTTAACCGTGAGGATTCAGACACCTGGTTTGCGTCATTCATATTTTGGCACCGTAGGTGAAGTAGGCGAATCGTATTCAATTATGCCAAAATTCGGATAGCAAGATGGCGCTTTTGCCTTAAATAGTGACACTGTTAGCGAACTGAGGTCGAGCGGTGTCGGCAAAATAACGATTAAAGGTTGAAATGATGCCTAGAGAGCATTGTATTGCTATTTTCGTTATAAGATGTGCTTTCGCAGATTTTGAATGCTTCTCTTTAACCGAATCGCCAAAACGCAGCGATTCTGGTGGAATTAAAACCCATGACAGTAAGGACGTAGTGTAAGTACGGTCAACGCTCTGGTCACCTAAGGTACGACGCCTCACCGGGGGACATGAGTTTAATCACATTTGGATCAAGTTACCCACTCAGCCTACTGCAACTTCTGGAATCCACCAAACCTGAAACAGTAAACCGACTACCCAAGCAGGATCCCCTACGGAATCTATCTAGAATACATCAGGTGATGACAAAGCTCACGTAAATATTAGATGTTTTGGCAGATTTTGAATGTGATTAAATTAATTGCTTCCCTTGGGGCCTCGTAGTTTGTGTAGCTAGAGCCATGGTTGTGCCTAAGCCTTCTCCTTGCTGTGTTGGGTTTCATTCCCTTCAAGATCGCCAGGATCTTCGCGGTCCGATAAAAACCAAATGTATCGTCCTCAGATTGTGCGTCAAAGAAATTATCGCACCCCGACGCTCGTAGACAGGCAAAATCGAAACTTCTTCTGAGATGGTTTACTATCAACTTTTCAGCAACCCACCTTGTAGTTTTTTCTACATCCGAAAATTTTACCAGTGGCGCGGAAATTTATGGAATCTAACCTCCAAAGAGGAGGGAATTTCGGACTAACTGACACGATAAAGCAGCTGGGCTTGACGACTGATCTCCAGACAACCTGTTTTACGGCTCTAAGTACAGCAAATTTTAAAAAAACGGTAGGGGCTCTTTTTCAAAATGTCTTTGTGCCCACCACTCACGTTGTCAGAACGTTCGACTTAATGACTCAGCGACCAGAGGTTTCGACTACGAATACCAATTCTTTCAGAGCGGCTTTTGAGAATAGTTGGCTGGCGACAGTTATTAAAAATTGCCCCATTTTTTCTTGACTCTGTCGCGACTGCCTGTGACAATTTCCCTATGGTGACAGAAACGCCTGGCGTCCCCGTATATGTTAATTTAAGCGAACTCCCCTTTGCTAGCAAAAGACGGCCTGTTTGTCCTGACCTCGCGAACATAAACTGCCAGGAGAACTCTGAAAGGTGAGAGTAAATGCCCTGACAGGACGGAGTGGTCCTTGAGTTTCGAAGGAAGCATCACCAAAGGATTCGACGAAAGCTGGTTCTCATCTCCTTTGCAGCTGCTCAGTGTATACAACAGTTAATCATTTAAACTGACTAATGCTCTCAGCAGCCTCTGTCAGCAAACGCAAATTATACGCCCGAGCAATTTATCCGCTTCCATTACAACAACTTTATATCAGAATTTGGGAATACTGTTCAGGTCCAGTTCATATATCTAAGACGATTCCTAGTCTGACCTGAAATATAAAAATGGCCTCTAACAATGAATTTGCTTCCCTGACGGATTCCTAAGATTGGGAAGGCCTCAGGTTAATCTACGAAGTTGATGCAAACGCGTCTGTTGATCCCTAATTACAGGGTCGAGAAACTGTCTGGCCTCAAGAAAACCGCAGCCATTACCATTTTCATATTTTTCTACTATTTGATTCCTGCATACCCGTCTTAATTTCTCTTTTGATATTTCGATAAAATTCCACCTTCGTGCCAAAATGAAGTTTGGCACCAATACGTCAAAGTAAGGTCCTTATGGCTAGTTCCAGTTAGAAGAAAGCAACGGCCGAGGCAGTAGCTATACGGTTAGCGAATCCGGTGTTATGCTGTCAGAAACTCTGACACAAGCGCTTTCGCTGCCGTGGCCAACGCCAACCCCAAGTGATGAAGCCATGCCGCCTCAAATCCCTTATCACGATGATGGGTACTCCGTGTACTCCACCCAAGAACATCACTCAAAGACTCTCTAACCCCCCTCCCCTAGCTCTGACGACTAACACCCGCCGATCTTCTCATGCGGGCGGCGTGGGGATGATGAGTGTTAGTGACTTAATAGCCCTTGAGGCATCTATAAACACTGTTGATTTTGTACATTTTCATTCCTTCATGTAATTGTATTGGCCTGAGGAAGAATTACCGAAAACGCGTATTCGCCAACTTGACTTTTCAATTGTAACATGGGAATATTTGAGGAACTTAAAGCATAAAGAGGTTGAAATGCGAAAAAAATGGTTGCCTTAGGTCACTTATTCAGTAATGCAAAACACCACCTTCTGCAAGCAGGGCCTTTAGGTATTTTAGAATAGTATTAATGCCCTTGTTGTTAGACCAGCATCAGTGATCAGCAATGTTATTCTAGGGGTGAGTTAAGGTGTAGATTTCTCTGCCAAATGACAGTTCCACCGTGTGCCACAGGCACGGTGACTTGCGCGGCACCTATCGCACTCACACTTCCCTACTCCCCACACGGACCCGGTGTCAAGACAGAGCCAAGAAGCCCGGAGGCGGAGGAGGGCGCAGGTGCCTGGCACGGCCGGACCCCACCTAGGCGTACCACCACACCTTCTGGTTCACAGCATACTTTTGACCAGGATTTTTCACCATCGTCAACAACAACGACACCCCCACAGGGGTCGGAAGGACGAGGGCAGCCATGCCAACCACCTGTATACCCCGCCAAACAACCAGCAATGCAAGTTCATTCTGCCCAAAGGGGGATCTCCGCAGTTTGTGGCTTAAGTTTGTTGTGAAGGACCGATCTGTGCTGGATAATAAATGCATGTGCGTGGCAAGTCGGAGGAAGAAACTTTACTGACAGGTCAACCAATGCGTCTAATCTAATTTTCAGCCCGCAAGTAGACTCGGACGGGTAAGTGGTGCATGCGGGAGGGGGGAAAGGAGCTGGAACTAGGATACGGTTTCGCAGGCTTCGCCTGGCTTCCACGTACATGTTAATTTAATCGAACTCCCCTTAGCTAGCAAAAGACGGCCTGTTTGTCCTGACCTCGCGAACATAAATTGCCAGGAGAACTCTGCGAAGTTGGAGTAAATGGCGGGACACGACGGAGCCGCCCTTGAGTTTCGAAGGAAGCATCACCGAGGGATTCGACGAAAGCTGGTTCTCATCTCCTTGCCAGCTGCCCAGTGCATACAACACTTAATTATTTAAACTGGCTAATGCTCTCAGCAGCCTCTGTCAGCGAACGCGACATATACGCCCGAGCAATTTACCCGGTTCCATTACAACAACTTTAGATCAGAGTTTGGGAATACTGTTGAAGTCCAGAAACTTTACTGACAGGTCAACCAATGCGTCTAATCTAATTTTCAGCCCGCAAGTAGACTCGGACGGGTAAGTGGTGCATGCCGGGGAGGAAAAGGAGCTGGGACTAGGATACGATTTCTTAGGGGAACTTAGCGTCTTTCCTATTGCCAAAAACTCAACTTGCTTGAAACTAGGAGGATTCAGGACATTTTGTGAGTTCAAAGACTGCCACTCGACGCGAAAACTCGTTTTTCCTTTGGCACACAATAGACGGACCGTTTAACACTGTCTACATTCGATTCCACACCAATCGCTAGTCATATTTTCTTTGCTATAGACTTCTACAGCCAAACTCACGTGAACGATCCCGGGAAAGTTGTGAATATCGACATTTGCGGCGGTTGAGCTGCCCTACCTGCTGCCACGGGTGTTGGACACAACCACTACTCTATAAAACACTTTTCGACGTCGAAAGTTGGGAAGCCGTGGCTAAGAAAAGGGTCTGTGTTTTGAATATTGCACGCAATTGTTTACCTGCTGCGTTGCAGTCAAGTAACTAGACTGACTAACGCGTCAACTCATTTAGTTCAGACCAATTCGCCAACTGTGACGATTGGAGTGGGTGGGCGATAAACAAGACAGGGGTACATTTTGCGAGGGTGAGTGCTTAAGGGCAACACGTGATCTGGAGCATGGGGTTCGTGTCACTGTGCTAACATGCTTGGCAAACACGGTGTCCTCCATGAGCAAGTCGATACGAGAGTCGATTTGAATGACAAACCACTTGACATTAATAGTCTAACAGCTGGAGCGAGGGGTAGAATTTCGGTCTGTGGTGTTGGAAGACCGAAATTCTGGGCTCTGTATGTGGACGATACTTTCGTCGTTATCAAACAGAATTAGGTGCTAACGTTAAAAGAAGGTCTCAACAGCGTCTTGCCGGGCATGCAATTTAGGATGGAGGAGGAAAAAATTACCAGCTGGCATTCCCAAATTCTGGTGAGCGATCACATACATCAAGAACGTCTCCAAGGTCGTTGTTCGACTTCGCGAACCACTAGGGGGTTGGAGTTACACACAGACCGGAGGCCGCCATAAGGCCTCAGGTGATGAGACCAAAAGACCCACTGCCACAGCAAGGAACATCTGGAGTCGGTTACCAGATGTGGGGCAGTTGCGGACAAAGCAACTATTTCGGATAAAATGGAAGAATGTTCCGCACGCGAATTGCCGAACACGCGGCAGCGGTACGGAGAAATGACGCCAACTCTCAAGTCGCGGCCCATTCGATGTGACCTGGCCACACATTCAAGTTGGCTGAGGCCGAAATTCTCGCGAAAGGTGATACCCGCGTGAGCTGTGATTTGCTTAACTCATGGTTCACCGGACCTCAGTCTATTAACAAGTGCAACGACATCCCCACCCCATATTCGGTACTGACGCATAGTCTGGCCAAATCAAGTAACCACTCGGGGAGCCCGCAGGCCGATGAGCCAGATGGCCGTGCAGTCATCACGCCAGCATCCAACACGCGTAGTGAGATTTCATCAGTTAACAAGTTGCATGCCGGTAATCAAGCGCTTAGTGCAACAGTGGGCAACAAGTTTTTCATGAAGGGGAGCGCGGTCAATTACTATAGGTGTGCGGTAGCATAGCTACTACATCCTATAAATACTGCAACTTACAGTAGATTTGCTAACTCATGAAATATCAACCAAAATTTCGAAATGCGTTCTCGTTTCGAAAATATGAATTAAGTCGTGTTGTAAAATTAATCATGATGCGGCATAAGTCTACAATGATCCAGTTACCTCATGGTGTCAGCTTTCGAAAGAACTTATTTTCGGCTGCACGCAAGACCTAAACTCTACAAAAAAATGACTACTTAAAAAGTATGAAATTTTCTCATTGATTTTCGATACCCTTGAAAATTTAATTATATTTCACAGAAAACATGCATAAAAATATTCATTTTTTACATATTCGGTAGAAAATCACGTCTTCTTCCAATTTCATACTCAAAAAGGAATATGATTCGGTTTTAAAAAAACTTTTCTAATTCCGAATAATTTTGAACCCGACCTGCTCTTACACTTGCATTTAGGATTTCAAGATTACAAGCTGTATATTTTTCGTGTACGGAAAACCATGCATTTCCCTACGGTGTTAAGAGGAGACCATATGAGGTTCATAAAATTAAGCAGTGGATTGGAACAATATTGTCAACTGTACAAGCCACATTCGTAAATGCGGATACATGACGTTTTATGAACGACCATTTAACGGTATTAAAAAATCTCACAATTAGAAACTTTTTTAAAACTGAATTATACTCTTCTTTTGAGTACGAAGTTGGAAGAAGACGTGATTTTCTACCGAATAAGTAAAAGAATGAATATTTTTATGTTTGTTTTCTATGAAATATAATTGAATTTTCAAGAGCATCGAAAATCAATTAGAAAATTGCATACTTTTTAAGTAGTCATTTTTTGCAGAGTTTCGATCTTGCATGCAGCCGAAAATAAGTTCTTCCGAAAGCCGACGCTCTAAGGTAACTGGATCACTATAGATTTATGCTGCATCATGATTAGTTTTACAACACTGCTTACTTTATCTTTTCGAAACGAGAACGCATTTCGAAATTTTGGTTGACATTTCATGAGTTAGCACATCTACTCTATTTACATTTGAAAGGTCACCTGGTTGCTTTGGTTCCTGTTATCGCAACTGATCCTTGGTCAAAAATCAATGGCAGCTCGACCGTATCAGTGGCTATGTCCACCGTTTTGTCCACAGATTGAGCGCATCAAGGTGGCCGCGGTTTATAGTGCGGTGGTTGTGCGCAGCGTCTGCGCAAAACAACAACAGGCAGACCGGAGGTGGACCTGTACACAGCGTACACACGTACCACACAAATCCTGGTTCCTGCGCAATGTGTACAGGGCTTTTGTGAGGAGGGTTCTGACCTAAAATGCGTGAGACCGTTGTGGTGACCAAGCGGTGTGAGTGTGTGCACTCTGTACTCAGAGTGTTACTATCGTCAGGCCAAATCCCAAGTTGTAGGGAGACGGAAGTAGGTCTCGAATGAGGGGTTTATCGTGCACAAAACCCGGGGTTGTCCTCTCAGGCGGCAGTAGCCACTGGCGAATCCAGGGCTGGTGTTGACTGCGTCCAGTCATTCCTGAGAGTCCGTGAGGCAGTGGTGGCAGCCACTTTTGTAGGCTCGTGGGCCAAGCTCAAGTGGTGTGCAGTCAGTGTGCGTTGCATTTGCCGAGGGGTGGTGTCCCAGTGGCTTGTTTTGCTGGTTGCAGGTGGTGGCGCGTTCAAGTGGCCTCATGGGCAGCTGCGGCTGTGCGGACGCTGGTATGTCCGAACTGTCGGTCGTGTGACTTCAGGTCAGCGCGTCTGGAACGGCTCACTGCAAATGGGTGGATGACCTTGAGGCAGCGAGGTCTTGAACAATGACGCCAGACCGGTTATAATGGCTGACCGCTACAGTCTACACGAAAAAGGAACCATTACAGAAAGAGTAAGTTGTCCCATAAGTTTGGTAACTTTACAGCACGTACCTGGTACGGCTGCGAGCATGTCTCATGTAGCCGGCCTCGATGATGTCCGGAATTATACTTCTACACACGGGACGATCCGCAGCAGCAGATCTGGATAGATCGACTAATTCTCATCTCCAACTTCGAACACCCAACACTGAAGATCCAAGAACCACCTTCAGGGCTTGACGGGCTCTGTTGAGCCAGGTTTTGAGTTGACCGCCTCTTCGACGCCGTCAATAGGGTAACGGGGCCTGATCGAGGGTAGTAACATTAAGCTCCTGAGGTGGATGACGAAAAACATGCCCGAACCACCTCAGCCGTCTTTCTTAGATGGCCTGGGTTATCCGTGCCATGTTGTCGCAGCGAGTGCGGACTGTCTCATTTGGGACAAAGTTGATGTACTTCGCTCGACGGATGGTTCTCAAGCAGTGGTGGTCAAATACCACGCGCATAGCCCAGCATTCACAACCTGGAGAGACTGGACAGATGTACGGCACACGCGAATCTAGATGGCGATGGGGGTGTGGTGTCGGATCCATAGACATTTTCGAAGGCTTGAGAAACCCCGTCGGGCAGCTATCAATTCTGGAGACAATGTCGTCCTTACTCTGTCCATTCGGCAGCAGCCTCGCCCCCAGGTAGTTAAAACTGTCTACTTCTTCAAGTTGTCAGCCATAAATCCCGAGGGTCGCCTTCTCCTAGTCAGCAATACAGTTTGAAAACACTTTAGTCTTCCCAGCGTTTATGGATGAACCGTTTATGGATGAATCATCGAGACTTAAAGCAAGTAAGGCAGTAGCATCGGCATAGCCAAGATCAGTCAGCCAGTGTCCAGGTGCAAACTCAATGCCGTTGCCTTAGTGTAGGGCTCGACTCGCGTAGCCGCAGGTGTTCCACACCTCGGGCTTGGGTATGACTGGCAGAAGACGGCTAATAAGCCAGAAGTGGCCATTCCAGTCTCCCTTGTCATTGTCGGTAGTAACATTCTGCCAATATCACGCGCCGCTGTGCGACTGCTGGTTGGGCTCGAAAGAGAGTCCGTAAGGCATAACGGGAAGAATGAGTTCCGTAAGTACGATCAGTGAGTGACCGTCTACCATTTCGGCTATTCTCCGCTATACTACCCAAAATGAGATTTGCTGAGGCACTTTCGTATGAAGGATTTCGGATAGCTGTTGGCTTTAAAAAGAGCATATGCGTACACAATCTCCCTCTTCCCCATACTCTCGTCGCAACAGTACATTTAGACATGTTGAGAGAAGGTACTGACACGGCTGCGTTTGTTACCAACAGGGTGGTTGTTTCGAGAGTGAAGGATGTGCCTTAGGACTGCCGTCTTCCTTATCTTCTCACTCGCCACTTTTTTAACTTGTACTTCAAAGAATGACAGTTCACAGGTTAAAGCCTCAGGAGTAGCAAAACCTATGTTTGGGTATGGCTCCCTGATGACGGCTACCAAGCCGGAAGTGGCCATTTCAGTCTCCCTTGCGTTCCTTAGTAATGTCTTTCAGCCCCCATTCGTAAGGTCGGTGAGCAGAGCAGTTGAAGTGAAGAGACGTGTCCCAGGAAGCAGTCGTGAAGTACGTCCTGTGACAGAAATTCAGGAGTTGAAGGACTTGGGCATGTCCAAGACGATTCTCCTTTTAATCGTACTTGCTTTGTAGAAACTGCTAGATTGTTTCGATCGCCAGGTCCTGGGGAATGGAAGTTAAAAGGGACGCAACGACAAAAGATACCATGACCTCATTTGGATGGAGGCTTACCCCTTTGAGTTTCTCCAGGAATTGTGCTGACGGAGAGACCGTGGTGTATGACTCAGCGGCCAGGACTTTGAGACGCCGGAACAGCCATTTAGCCATTCCGCACGTTGGAGTACCTTTGAGCGACACGATGGGTCGAAGAGGAGCGCCGTCTTTGTGCACCTTAGGGAGACCATAGAATCGGGTCGAAGTTGTATCTTGGGGTCTCGCCATGCGTCCGTCGGTCGGTGTTATTGCACCTGAGTTCTCCAAGGCCAACAACGTAGCATTAGTTTCGTGCGTCAGCGCTTTTACAGGGTTCGTTGCATATGGGACATAGAGCTGTCGGTCCTCCAGTAAACCTTTAGCTTTCTGAAGGTAGTCTGCCCTGTCCAGTACAACCATGGAGTGCCCCTTGTCCGCTGGGACGATGACCAGGTCTTTGTCGGCCTTGAGTTCTCTAGGCACATCACGTTCGACCTTGGGCAACACTTCCCGCCGCCTGTGAGCCATCAGAAGGGACGACACTTGGTGTCGGATGAGGCTCTTAGTCTCCTCCGTAGCCTCCGTCTGACTAAGGATTGATTCCACTGCTGCAATCATGTTAACAGGTTTGGCTTCAGCCGTATTGAATGAAGTTTCGTGCCGTAAAACCTGCATCTGATACTATTCGCTGTTGGCGAGGCTCCAAATTGAGCCTCAAGACAGGACGGCAAGAGTGTGTCCGTAACGCGATCAGGGGATTTTCCCTTACGATATTTATATAAATATATATACGCAGAAGGGATATTACCGACAAAGACAAGGGAGACTGGAATGGCCATTTCTGGTATATAAGCCGTCGTCAGCCAGTCATACCCAACCTCGAAGTTTGGAACATCCGAGGCTCGAACTAACATGTCGCAAGTTCGAGCATCAGGTGTTCCACACTTCGGGGTTGGGTATGACTGGCTGACGACGGCTTATATACCAGAAATGGCCATTCCAGTCTTCCTTGCCTTTGTCGGTAATAACATTCTGCCTATATCATGCGCCGCTGTGCGGTTGCTGGTTGGGCTTGAGTGAGAGCCCGTAAGAGACAACGGAGCGAGTGACTTCCATAAGAACGGTAGCTGAGCGCCCCCTACCATTATATGTATATATACACATAAGTAGAGATATTACTGACGAAGACAAAGGAGACCAGGATGGCCATTTCGGTCTTATTGACAGTCGTCAGCCTACCATGCCCATCTTCAGATCTAGAACGCCCGGGATTGGATCCAAGATCTTTAATACTGAAATTTCTTTAATGGTTATGCATGAAAAATGGTCCAAAACTGAAAATGCATGTTCGGAAAACTGACATACATATGTCAGGTTCATAATATCCATCCGGTTTGCTGCACCGTGTGAGAATTAGTTTGCCCTCCGCCCTCAAGTGCCAAATACTGGCGTAATAAACTGGCAAAGTGATTTAACCTAACTAGGATGATTGGTGTGATTTAAGAGCAAACCTTAGTCTCGAAAACCCAACTACTTTTGACATCAATATGCTCTCTGGGTTCGTCTGTCCAGTTCAAAGTCTTGATGCTGGTCAGCCACCAAAGAGGACTTAAATTAAAATGAAAGAGAGACAAGACCGGATGCCATCCGAATTTGACAGCAAAAACCGTAGCCCCATGCAGCTTATAATACGAGTCATGCATAAAATTCATTACCCTCTGAAAGAGAGGGACTGATGTTGCTATGTAAAGCACCGCGAAGTCAATGCATTCCTATCGGCCTCCTCCTCCCCTCCTCTTCCTCCTTCTTCTCCCTTTTCTTCCCCCTCCCCTCCCCTCCCACTTCTCTTTTCTTTGAGCACATATCCTATGTATCTACTAATATTCTAACTTCGTCTTTTCTTTTTCTCGTCCTCGTTCTCCATTCCCATTTTTTCCTCCGCTATCCTGTTATTTTTCTAGTTTTGGAAGATGATCGAACAAATTGGAACTAAAAACTGACCGACGGCTCTAAGAAACACCAAACGCAGTCATCACAGCTCCTATCACTGGCAAGATTTCTGGATTCCAATTTTCCACTGTTAACCGTTTTCTCCCCATTACATCCTCAAAGGAAGAACGCCACGTAATCACATCTGGTAATTGTACCTCCTAGTCATAGAAAGAAGGGGGAGTTTTTCGACTGAAAAAAGTAAACTGATTAACTGGGTTTTGGTAACACAGTACGTTTCGTCCTGGGAAATGTGGAATATACCAGTAGCAGAAATATTTCTCACAAATTGTCATACAGTTGTACCCGGAAAACAAGACTTTCTCATCCTTGCGCATTCAGATGTTCTCACGGTTAGTTTAGCGGAGCTGACAGAAACCAAACGCACCTCAGCCATCAACTCCGCAAAATTGTCATTTTTATAGTCGCTGAGCAATAATACTGATCTGTTTCTGGCTTTTAAGAAGTCAACTGTCAAAGTCGTTTATTTAATATATTTGTAAAAAGCACTTAAGTGTAAGTAATACTTGCAATTTAACTGATCATCCGTCACAGTCTGGTGAAAAACTTTGAAGGCTGGGGAATTATTTCCTCCTTGAAACAACCGAAATACAACTTTTGAGTTAAATGCCAACATGAAAAGAACCTGGAGATCACAAGATGCCGTCCGAAGCTAAAGACGAAGAACAAACGTTACTCTCACATGCACAATGCTATATCGGACAGGTCCGTCTGGACTTGTCATTTATTAATAATTAATCTCATTATATCTTTAGATGACGTAGAACATTCCTATTTCCGGCCCATTTTACATGCTTTAAACTACCACGATGAATCAAATCCGGTCTTAAAAGGTTGATTTCCTGGGGAATAACTTGTTTTACCCCTTGAATATGCGTCAGACCTCAATGGTTTACTCTCTGTGCTGTTTCATCGTCCATTTACATATTTGATATTCTGGCTTCTGTACGCTGCGTGTTAAATGTCTCGGGTGGGTAAGGAGAGAGTGTAAGAAATGTATCGCAAGTGAAGTATCACTTAGTCACGCACAGGTAATTGTTTCTGAACATACTATGCTGTGGGACACAGGGTGGACATCGTCAGAATCGACGGTTGACTCGTCGGTATTTAAGTAGACATACAATTTACGACGAAAGAGGAAAAGTAATCAGCTGGCCTTCCTTGATGTCCTCGTCTGTCGCAAAGATTGTGGTGGCCTAAAGACCAAAGTGTTCAGGAAAGCGACGAAGAAGACGCAAATAATGAACTCGAAAAGAATTACCTAGTCGGCCATAAACGAAGTTGCGTAAGGACGCCATATCGGCGTGTTCAGACGTACTGCAGTGAACCAGAAGCCACGTTTGCCGAACTACAATACCTTCGACGGATATTCAAAGCCAATGTCTACCTAAGCAACTTCGTCAACCGCTGCATGCGCAAACGAGATAAGCGATAAAATCTGGTTCAGCTGAATGCAAGGCAACTACGTCGGAGAAACTGGAAGACTGCTCCGGACACGAATTGCCAAACACGCGGCAGCGGTGCGGAGAAATGACGCCAAATCTCAGGTCGCGGCCCATTCGACGGCACTCAGCCACACAGTGAAGTTCGATGAGGCCGGAATTCTCGAGTGACGTTATAACCGCGTGAACTGTGAGTTGTTTGAGTCATGGTTCACGGGACCGCAGTCCATCAGCAAGTACAACGACATCCCCACTCCATATTCGGTGCTAAGGCATAGGCTGGCCACATTAATTAACCACTCGGGAAGCACGCAGGCCGGTGAGCCAGATGGCCGAGAAGTCATCACGCCAGCATCCAACACGGGTGATGACATTTCGGCAATTAACAACTTTCATACCGGCCATCAAGCCATTAGCGCACCAGCGGGCAACGATTCTCAACGAAGGGTAGAGCGGTCATTTACCATATGTATGCAGTAGCATAGCGACTGCATCTACTAAATACTGTAACTTCCTGTGCACGAATCACCCGTTTCGGTCACTATCTCTGATGATGGGTTCAAGTGAGAATCTGAGGCGTCAGACGAATAAAGCCCTTGTTCAAGCGATCGTCTCTACTTCTTATCATTCGTAGGGATTGCCTGTCTAGTAAGTAGGTAGTTCCACATATTTCCCTTTTCTGGCGAAAAATTCGGGCTGGATTTCGAGGCGTCGTGTACCTACAGTGTTATGAAAGCTGTTTAGCTTCTAGCAGTTAATATACCAGAATACCTTTCTTCATTTCTACTTGACTTTAACACAATTCCCGCCATGTTCAGTGCTCCTTCTGAGCTGAAAGACCCAGGAATCAAAACGCGTCTCCCAAATCGCATATTCCGAGTTTGTCATTATCCTCGGATTTGGATTGTTTGATTGTTTTCTTAGTGTTGACGAGTCCGAGCGCAACTTCAGCGCGGTAGATGGAAAAAATTATTCATCCACAGGCCTGTCCAGATACATAAGTTAGGGTAAAGCATGGGACCATGAACATTAATTATGGGGGTGGTCGACAGTGTTTAAAAATATCGGTCCTGGTAGGGACTTGAGAAGCAGGCGAGAGTGGAGGGAAAGAAAAGGTCCTGACAGTGAGCTGCGCCTATCTTTCCCTGCTACAGGCCACGTGGTAGGATGTAGAAGCGAGTCTGTTGGGCTCGTCTTGAACTAGGGTAGTTTGGGGGCTTGTATCAACGCCTTCCGCAAGCACAAGGCTGGTTTTGCCAACATTATAGCAACTGCCTCTGCCCCCTGAAAGTATCCTCTGGCGCGGGAACATTGAGTGCCGCGCTGGCACTTTTAAGATGAATCGGAATGCATGGCTGACGTCAACCCGGTGCCTGATGTCACCTGAGTGAGCCACGATTATGCAAGAGGTAGACGTTTCGGTGAGGTTTGGACACCGATTGCTCCAATTGATGTCGTATTCTCTGCCTACTGAATCCATTTGAGTAGGCGTGATTGCGTTAAGTTTGTATATCTCAAGGCACAGTGTGTCGCAAGCGAACTTTGGTTACAGCAACCACTGCCTTACATGCACGTCGACCCAGAACCGTCCACGCCTCGTTCCTTTTCTTAATCCACCGAATGGCTGGGTTAGTTATGTCATTGGTACTGTTCGAACAGAGCGTGCCCCCAAACGGTCCACGTGTTAAATGCGCTGGACCAACACGGGGGTCACATCGGATTCTGGCAGGCGTTATCCTTGCGCAATAACAAATGCCAACATGTGCGAGGTGCGCTGGCAGACCCTGTTGTCGGCAGTCTTTGCACAAATGGGACTACTGCCACCATCCCATTGTTTTGGAGGTCAGAATCCTGGTCCCGTTTGTGTGAATCAGGGGATGCGGAGTGGAGCGCCAAGGTGCGGATCCGTCCAAGCCACCTACCTGTGGCCTCCCTCATCTCCGGTCTTCTTAACTCTGTCTTGACACCGGGCTCAGCTGGGGGAGGAGGAGGGAGGGTGATAGCTTCAGCGCAAGTCTGCCGGCACTTTAAACCCCCTGCGCAAGTCACCGTCCCCGCTTCCACCACTTGCTGTGGGACACACGGTGGACATCGTCGAAATCGACGGTCGAACTCTCGTCGTGTCAAACAGAGTGCTCTATACGTTTGCTTCTAGATCTCTCTGCG